ATATTTTGACACAACAATCTCCCCCTTGGTTTATAGCATTCTTTTCTAATTGGCCCAACAAACTCCCCCTAAAAAGTAGGTGACTTTTCTTGTTAATCTTCATTGGGAGCTTGGCTTCAGCATTAATCTTCAAATTTCTTCACAGCATCAAGATGAACATATGAATCTTCAATAAATGAATTCATCTTGAGCAGTTGGGATTTCGGTAGAATTTGACATTGAACGCACATTGGGTGAGGAGGCTTCTTGCAGAGATTCATGAAAGATGGTGCTTTCATCTTGAGAATCTTCAGAGAGAAATAATCTTCTAGATCACTTCAGCAGGTTTAAGATAGCAACAGACTGATTGAGGAGGCTTCAATGCAATCGGTGACATAATCTTCAATTTCAGCTTCACCTTGCTTCTAGGGTTGAAGAATTGAATGTTTAAAGAATAATCTTTATTTCTTGCTTCTTCGAATGAAAATTCTTCGATGCTCACGGATGAAGTCTTGGCTCAGAAAATCTTCAATACAGTCTCCACGAGTCTCATCTATGCCTGAAATCACTTTTCAAGACAAAACAAAACTAAAAGAAAAATTAGCAAACAAAAAATATATTTGGATTTTTGATATTTTCTGAAAAAAAATAAAACAGAGATAACACTATTTTTTTAATTTTCTATTTTTTAATTTTTGAATTTTTCTGATTTTTTTTTAATTTTTTTATTTGAATTTTTTTAATTCTCCCCCTAAATTTGTGCATAGAGGAAAACTATGAACAAATTTAACAAAAACAAAAATATTTGGATTTTTGATATTTTCTGAAAAAAAAATAAAACAGAGACAACACTATTTTTTATTTTTTTATTTTTCATGTACTCCATCTTGTGAAACTACTATTAAATTTCTCCGAGATCAAATCGATTTATTAAAAAGAGAAAATGAGGACCTCAAATACGAAGGCTATACTCTTAGGAAAGGTCAAAAACCTTTAAAAGTACAATTAGAGGCCAAGACTAAGGACTTTAGGAAATTACAAGAAGATTATAGCAACAAGTGTGAAAATTATGATCACATTAAACGCAAACTTGCTGTTGTAACTGAAGAACTTGACGCTTTGAAAATTAAGTGTGGAAAAACAGATGTTAGTTTCAAAAATAACACTGCGTCAAGTAAGATAGTCGAGTCCTTATTTGAAAACCAATTAAAATTCAAAGATAATGAAAACAAGGGTCTAGGATATGATAGTGTTCCTCCCCCTTTCAATCATAACTATATATCCATACCTTTGACTCAGGAAGAGATTGACCGAGAACCATTTATGGTATACGGTAAACCAGTTATTGAACAGGCAATTGAGGGTGTTGAGTTGAATGATACTAATGCTTCTACTTCATGTGCAGGTAAAGTAGCAGAGGATGAGAACAAGGAGAAAACAATTGAACAATCTAATGACTCCTTGAACTCTGAATCTGTTGCTTCGAACTCAGTTGCTTCTGATCAACCTGCTGTTGAGAAGTACAGGGCACCAAATCAAGTGAAATAGCCGACTTGCTGCAAGTGTGCTTGTGGGAACAATCAGAAACGAGGCAAGGACATGCCACCAGGGGCAGGAAGAAACAACTCCACAGTGAAGAAAAAGACATGTTTTCACTGTGGAACACTTGGACACATTGCAAGAAATTGTCCAAATCATGCATACGTTCCCTACTACGCACATGGCTGGCAGAAAACTCCAAGAGGGAGATACTCCAAAAGAAAACCCTCAAGGTCATGTTCAGACAATGGCGACTGGAATGCCACGAAGGGCAAGAGTTCAACTCCCACGGCCAAGAAATCAACTCCCAAGGTCAAGAAGGGAATGTCGGCCAAGAAGTCCAATCCAAGAGATGCTCCAGTGAAACCAAGAATGGTTTGGTCAAAGTCATCTCGACGATCGGCTTCAAGTTCAAAATCAAGTGCCGAGGCGCCCATCGGATCGAAAAAGAAATGGGTTAAACCCAACTACAAATGGGTACCAAAAGTTCAATCTCCCAAATCACCTAATGATTCTAAAAATTTTTCATCTTCTGTTTGTGATAAGCAGGATATGTCATGGGAGAGGGTACCTTGAAATGATGACAAAGGTCGACTCAGTTTCAAAATGGACTGGGTTCCAAAGACCAACTGATCCCACACGGTGTCGGGACAACTATGGAGGCATATCATCTGACTTCGGTTTGTTGATAGTGGTTGTTCTAGGCACTTGATAGGAGGCATCTCTCAGCTGTACACCATTCAAAACTTTGTTTGAGAGTATGTGTCCTTTGTGGGTATGGAAGAAAGGAAGGGATCACAAATGGGGTTTGTGCTAAACGACATGAAGAATTTTCGGATCTGTTCTGAGGTTACGCGTGCTGTTCTCAGACCTTTTGGATGCAAATTCAATCGGTGAATTACTGTTTGATTTTTCTTCTCTATACTCCTGAGTTTACCTTACTCTGATTCGTTTTAAAGACAATCTTCATTTTCTTAATAGTTTTTTGTTAGTAGGTATTGTTTAGGAAGTGATATTATCGAGTGATAACAGGCAATCTAAGTCTGCGTAACGTACCCAAAATTGAAGGGTCTATGCTCTGGTTTGATGTGTCAATAGGCACGAAGAATTTAACAGACTTGACTAGGTGCAGATGAACTTAAGGAGTCTATAGGCTTGAAAAATCTTGACATAGTTAGTTCCGTTTAGCCTGACAATACGACACTTGGATAGGTTGAGCAGGGAGATATATATGGGAATCTACTCATCACATTAAATGAACCCGTATCTGGAACCGTGGTTTAATTTTTCCTTGTTGTGCGGATTCTGTCCTTAATTCCGGTATTGATGGGGCGACTGGTAAATTCCGATAAATTAGGTATGTACAAAATCATTTTCTTTATTTCTTTCTGTTAATCATTTTCGTATGCAACTCTATTTCTCTGCATATTATATATGAAATTCCTCTTATCTGTTAGCCATATGTTGTCTCCTTTGCGTGACTAACAATCCGACCTGGTACACAGCATATGCAACCTTCTACTTCTCAATCCCTTTAAAACTATAAGTAATAATACTCTGAGTCTATCTTCTCTCCTAATGATGGTCTGCTCATCTGATGTAAGGAGTACTCTGGAAGTCCTTGATTACTGGGGCATATTAGGAAGCGGGAAACATATTTCAGTACAATTAAAAAAATTGAACACTTAAGGATTGTCTATAGACCGCGCTGCTTAGTTTAGGTGGACAACAATATCTCTGGTCGTCGTCAGCTGAATGGTCCTTAAGATATAGTATCTAGGAACTTAGGATCAGATACAATATCTAGGAACTCAGGATCACATTGTCTTGTCACTTATAGTATGTCCTAATTTTGTCACAATTTTTCGTGTTTAAGTGGACAACAATACCGGCGATCGACCAGACAAAGATGTGAAGATAGAAGGTACTAACAAGCGGATAAAGGCTGTCTAAAAACTTTGATCCCTAATCTCAATAGGTTAAAACAATTTATATAGGATTAAAAAATTAAATTTTAATTCCTTGTCGTTAATAGTATTTCCAATTTTATTTTAGTCTATTCTATTTTTATTTTTATGTTTTATTTTTATTCTTATCTTAGTTAATAAGTTTTCTTTTAGTTTTTAATTTTAAATCCTTAGGAATAATAAATTTAGTCTCTTAAATCCTGAAAATGGTTTGTTTTTGAAAAATGATGAGTATGGGGCCTCGGTTTTATTTATTAAAAAGGTGAGCAGGAGGAAATGAAAATATTTTGAGTATATATATGGTGTGTGTGGTGAGAATGTTACCAGAACTATTACCACAGGCGTTTCTCTCAACCGCACACATCTTTTTACCTTCTCTCTAAAAATTCATGAATATTCCACTGTTTTTCTTGAAATCGAAGCCGTTATCTTGTAATTCTCATGAGCACGGCTCAATATTTTAAAACTTTTGTGAAAATCATCCATTGTTTGCTGTAGAATCAAAATATAATCTGTTCGTCTCCAAATGCGACCTCACACGGTATGTACGGCCGCACACAGGCATGTGCGCCTGTATGATATGTGAGCGGTTGGGTGTGTGCGGCTGCAGCTGCACACTTACATGTGTGCGGCTGTGTGCACTTCTATGTGCGGCTACACCATTTTTAATAATTTTTCCCTAATGATTTTGTGCGTTTATTTTCAGATTAAGATGGGAGACATGGAATTTGCTAAAGTCCAGAACTCCACCATTTTTCTCGAAGACCCTCCTGCAGCTCATAAAGACTTGAAATTTATTGTGGATGGGTTAAAGAAATCCTGCTTGGTCCATGCTCTAACTACATGTCCTACTATCTACCAGAATCTGATTAAGGGTTTCTGGAGGAGCGCTGTTGTGAAGAAGAATGATCAGGGTGAAAAGTTCGTTGAAACAACAGTTGAAGACAAGAAAGTTCAAGTAACAGAAAACATCATTCGGGAATCTCTCCAAATAGATGACAGATCTGAGTACACTATGGAGATTGACATTCATCAAAATCAGGATGTCTTAGAACACATGGGGTACGAGGGAACCTTTCCCCCTACCATCAAGAAGTTGCTTATCCGTGTTGGAAGTATCTGGCTCATGTGTTTGTGAGCTGTATTTCCGGCAGGAGATCAGGAGCGAATGAGATCTCCCTGGCTAACACTGGAGCAATTGCAGCCTTGGCTGTAGGACTTGAGTTCAACTTCTCCAAGTTCATAATGCATGAGATGATTATAAACCTTGAAGGGAGCAAGAGGGACAAGTTCTTGATGTATCCAAGACTTTTTCAAATCATTCTCAATATAACACTCCCCGAGCTGCATAGAGGAAATGAAACCTTGGACTTCAAATCCATTGGTCCAAGTGCTTTTGCACTAATGAAACAGAAGAGAGGCGGGAAATTTGTGTTTGAAGGAAAATTTCCATTGATAAAATTCGGATTTTTTGCAGAAAATGATAGAGAAGAATCTAAAGAGCAGTCCATCCCGATGGAATCTGAAGATATCTTTCATTCAACCTCCGAGTCAGAGATTGAGGAGGTCCATGATTCTCCTTCAGCCATTGTGGCTAAGGAACATGATCATCATAAAGAAGATGAAACACAATCTGCTCAAGATAATGATGATGATCTTTATGGTGATGTCGAGTTTTTGAAGGAAATTGATTTTACAGGGATTAGTGATGACATCCCGAAAAATATAGAATTTGATCTTGATGATGAAGAATTCGTTCCTTTTCCTAGAATTCCCAGCAGCCGTCCTAATAAAGTCGATGAAGTTGCTTCTTTAGCTAACAAGACTAGAGATGAAGGAAACAATCTCAAGATTTTGCTCTCTACTTTAAAGCCCCTGGAGGTTACATCAAGCCAAGGAGATATGACATCAGAGATTCCTCCCTCTGGGTCATCCATCTCAACTTCTGCTCCAGTCATTCCTGACTCAACTCAACCTCAGACTTTCAGACTTCCATGAAAACAAGCCAATCACTTACAAGTCCGGAGGTACCCGCTGTAAGAAGTGCACCTCAGGTTCTTTTAACAATGACTGCTACCACTGTTCACTCTCCTCCAAAACAATCGGATGAAGGTCCGAGTACCATTTTTGAGACTGGTGGATCCTGATCCATTCCAGAATATTCTCCTACTTGACCTTCATTAAATGAAGCTTCTATTAGATTGGTAAAACACCTGGAACAATCTAGTCCAACCTCCTCACGCGGAAAAGTAATATCCTTTAGGAAGGGACAGACAGGTGATGACGAATCTTCTTCGCCTGATCTTTGATACAATATTGGGATTCTCTGTCAAGAGCTCATCGAAAAGTCAATGAAGATGGATCAACTCACTGCATACATTTTTAAGCTCAGGGCGAAGGATGAAGAAAAGACCAAACAAATTAAAGATCTGCAAGCGAGTCTAGGATCCGTATCAGCCAATTATTTCAATCTCAAGAACGTTCTGTATGATGCTTTTGGTGAAAAAGTCAAGGCTCTCTTTCAATAGCCACATGGAGTCGATGATCCTCCCATAGCTCCCACACAGTCTGTCTCTGAAAATTTTCCAGTCGATCCACCTGCTCCAAGAATAACCACCATTGTCAACAGGTTTGAAAAAGACCCAGAGGGAAGCAGAGTCAGAATAACAATCAAACAGGGCAAAAGAACTATAACAAACAACAAACACGAAGGTTTACTATTTATGAAGAATTCAAATGAGAATCGCAAGGCGAAAGACCCTGTTCTGACTATAACTGATCTAAAGAAAAGAAAATTTGGTGATGAGTACAAAGATAGATCGGGAATTCGAATGTGGGCCTTTGATCCTGCAACGAATATGTGGGTTGTGAAAAGAAACTCAGGCATTCTGAGTATTACAAGAGCACCCATGATTTTAACTAATGGACCAAAGTGGATCTTGCTGAACTATCAAGGGCCCCATTCCATAACCCCTCGGAAGATCCCAGTGCCTCAAACTTCAAAGGTTTCTTGATAAACAAGTAAAAGAAAATTTTCCGTCAATGAAGATTGCAAGAGCCTTGTACCGAAAAGACAGAAATTCTAGATCCTAAATCAGGCGAGCCTATGAAGATCATACTTTGGCCTGCGACTAAGAAGCAAAAGGAAATTCCTATCCCTCAACACTTCCATGAGGGATATCCTGATAATATGGAATTTTGGGCCTATGATGACGAAACTGCAACTGCTGCTATTAAATTCAAGGATTCAGAACATGTTCTGAGATTTATAAGTGCCAAAGATCTTCTTCGATTATGAGAGAGGGATATCTAGACTCTGGCTCGTCATCAGATCATTTGCAGAAAAGACGTCATGGAAGCTGCTGCTAAAGAATTTACTACAATGGTGGCTACAATCATCAATGGAAGAATGTGGATGGGCTCGATGGGAAGATCCAATCTAAAGCTGTATGAGAAACTAGCCGAGAAGCCAAACGAATGAAGTTCAAGACTATCGTAGTCTCAAACCAAGGGGGAGATTGAAGGTCCATAGTTTTGTGGCTTGAGCTAGGCATAAATTTTGTATAGATATAATCAGGGTGCCAGTGGTTGTGTAGCAGTGTTGTGTATTGAACTTGTATGTGTGCAGCCACACATGTGTGTGCGGCCGCACACAGTGTGTGCGACCGCACACGTGTGTATGGCTGCTCACTCATGTGCTGGTAGGGTACTATTTATAGTAACTGAGATGTGTCAGATTGTACTTTTTGGCTAAACACAACATTGATTGTACTTTCTCAAGGTGTACTTGACATTTATTCGTAATAGATGTGTGCATGCTTGATCTTACTTCTACTCCTTCTGCATTTCATTTTGATTGCTATTAACTTCATTGATTATTGAATTGGATCCATATTTTGGGGACTAACAGAAAGCAATATACTGAGCTGTCACACCCCGAAAATCAAAGGCGGAAACATTTCCGGGGTGGACTACCACGTTGTGTATCAAATCCAATGTACATAGTAATCACAGTAAACAACCAATACATTACATATATATGAAAGTTTACATTTGTTTCAAAAGTAAAGTTATACAAAATATACATATGCATCATATTAACAAAAGTTGAGACGAGTCTTCCACGCACTCCGTCTTCATCAAAAGAAATCACCGGGTACCTGTCTAACATGGACCTGAGAATACAAGCGATTTGAAAATCAGCATAAAGCTGGTGAGTTCATAAGCGGTTTTGTTTTATGAAAATGTATCGGTTTTCTTTAGTTTCCGAAAAGGTTTGTTATCCAAGAAAATCCCATTTTTCTTATGTGAAGTTGGTTTAGTTATTATTTGTTACCAATTCGATTACGTGTTGTGTTTTACCCCAGGAAAATCCCATATTTTCCTAATTGTAAGATCAGTTATATATCACAAAGTATAGTTTAACACACAAAACTATATAATGAAAATCTTGGGATCACTATATTCCGAAAGAGATATAAGATAGTTTGACACATATGAAAGTACAGATTTAAGATCATGGGACTACTATCCCGGAATACACACGAGATAAGTTGATATATATAGAAATATAGATTGAAAACCATGGGATCACTATCCCGGATAAGATATAGATTTAGACCATGGAATTATCATCCCGTACTTAATATAGATACAAAACCATGGGATCACTATCCCGTATAAGATATAGATACAAAACCATGGGATCACTATCCCGTATAAGATATAGGTACAAAACCATGGGATCACTATCCCGTATAAGATATAGTTAACGACCATGGGGAAAGACATCCCGTACAAGTTATAGATACAAAACCATGGGATCACTATCCCGAACTAGATACAAAATAGTTTGATAATACCATGGGATCACTATCCCGAAAGAGAAATAGAATCTAAAACCCAAACTGTGAATAAACTAATATTAATACATGTTGTGAGTCGGGTAACCATGCTAATACGACAACGTGACCTCCTTGACGTTTGTCAGACGTCGAAACGATATCCAGAAATTTGTCACCCCAGGCGTGCCCGCCTAACTGTAGCTAGCAGTTAAGGTGTGGGATTGTCAGTCCCGAATAGAGGGACCCGAGTGGCGTTTAGGGACATGTAATGATGCGAGAGACTTGGGACTTGAGTTTACCCCTCATGAATAAACTTATACAAGAGTTTTTGGTCCAATACACCCATTCCCCATGAGTTTACAACCGTAAACTCATTGTAGGGTGGTTTATGGTGCAAATTTGGGTCATAAATGGATATGGACACTTGGACATGCTTGGATAAATTTTACTTAAGGCTTGGATTGAATTAAAAACATAATTTGAGATACTTAAGGGAGTTTACGGCCTAGGCCTGGGATCTTTGGCCGTAATCTCTCAAATCCCCTTGATTTAGTGTTTTTAAGGTGTTAAAATCAATCACATGTGATTCTAAAAATTCCCACAAGCCTAGAAATGAGTTTAGGGCACCATTTGACACCTTTTTATGAGTTTACGGCCATGAGACATGTTCTATGGCCGTAAACTCTCAAATGTGGGGTTTTGATGTTTGTAAAGCCCTAAAACTATTTTTGGTTGGTCCTTTGATTTATTCCAAGGCTTTTGGTGGTGTTGGATGGCTTTCAAACACCCTAGAATTGGATTTGCACCATGTTTCATGGAGTTTACGGCCCAAGCACAAGCCTTGGCTATAAACTCATGTAAGTCCCCCAAAAATGATGTTTCAAGTGTCCAAATGCAAGGATCTATGTTCTATAATTCATAACTAAGACATATGAGTGGTTTGGAAGGGTTTAAGGGCATGAAAACCCTAGTTATATGAGTTTACGACCCAAGAATGATCCTTGGCTGTAAACTCCTTTAAATGCCACAAAACTCATGTTTTAATTGTTTAGAGTCCATATCTTGAAGCCATTTAGCCATATCTAAGTCCCAAACTTGTCAAGGAGGGGTTTAAGGGCTCAAAAACCCACTTAATATGAGTTTACGGCCCATGAATGCTCCATGGCCGTAAAATCATGAATGTGGTCACAAATCATGTTTTGAACTCGAATTTGAAGGCTAAGAAGGTTACAATACAAGCTAAGGAAAGTACCTTAGAGATTTGAAGCCTTAAATTTGAGTTTTGGACCCTTAAACTTGGATTTAGGAGAGAGGTTAGAGAGAGAGTAGAGAGAGAAGGAAAAAGCTTCAAATGGATGCTAAAACATGTTTATATTGGTCTTAAAACTTGTACGCGGTGGAATTCTACCCGATACCGACGCTAAACGCGGCTTTTGGTCGCACCCGATTAAGTTACCGATACCCGGCGGGGATGTTTCTAAAACTTATGAAATAATTATTTTCGGGCTAATTACGTGAGTTCCTGAGTGATTTAGACACTCATTAAATTAAAATAAACATATAAGTTCAAATAATTATCCCAAAGAGAAAACGGAACGGATTTGATAACGGCGACCTTTTCGGGTAGAACGGGTTTTGGCGACGAACAATTTCGGGTTGTTACATTATCCCCCCGTTAGAGGGAATTTCGTCCCGAAATTCAAAGAATAGAATATAGATCATGAGTTTGAAATGAGACACGAATGAGTTTGTTACTTCTGATCTTCACTTTCTCAAGTGGAATCGGGTCTCTACCGGGCGTTCTAGTAGGAATCACTAGGGTTTCGTTGGGTAGAAGCTTCTAAGGATTCGAGACATGATGTACTGGATAGATGTTAACAAGCTCTACGAGCATCCGAACCTTGAAGATTGTAGAATCAATCTCTACGAAGACCTCGAAAAGTTTGAGGTAAAACTAAACTTAGATGCTTGAATGAAATTCCCGGAAACTCTTCGGGACAAACATTTAGTAGAAAGAGCTACTAACTTCTCGTTTCTCAATGATCACAGAAACGAGGGATGTGGTAATTCGTATTAGGAAAACTCTTGAGTTTAAAGCATGACACAATATGAAAGTTTGATGCCGAAGATCATGAGAGTTAGGTCGAGGAAAAG